CGTGTAATATATAACGTATGTTAAAGAAAACAAACAAAATGAAAGAAGCAGATTTACATGTTAAAGTCTGATTATTGTTGTTTCTCACCAACGAGGTCCAAGTCATCTCCGCACTGTCCTGTGCCGCCTCCACGTTTTTTCTTTTTCTTGCTCTTGCCGCTACCGCTGCCACTGCCGCCGCTTCCGCCACTGCTATTTCCACCGCCATAAACGTTCGTCGTCGTTATCGAGGTAGCGTTTATTGCCGTTTCCTTTACCGCAGCGCATTTTGCTGATGTTTGCCGCGTGTCCTCCATACTTGCTTCGGATCTTACTTTTGTCAAGGTGACGCTAGTACCCTTGAGATTGATGCCGTTCTCCGGTATCGATTGGCCGTTTGTCATTTGGCTGATTTGAATGTTAGCAAGCTCGGATAAGGACGAGGCGCAATCTGGCTGAGCGTTCAACCGGCTGCGCAATTCGGCCAAGCTCGATGAGATGACGCCGTTCGCGTGTTTCACGCTCAGCTGACCACAGTCGGTCGTCGTCGTCGTCGTTCTGCTTACAAGTGACGATGGCGACGACGATAAATCACCCTTGACAATATAATCCGGCTTAGGCGGTGACGTCAGACCCGCATTGATCGCCTGCTGCAAAGCCGGACTTCGAATCGTCACCATGCCGTTCTCCGAAACTTTAATGATCGCAGCTTGCTGTGTCGGTGGCACTTTCATCGGCCCGAAAGATGGATTTCTGATCGTCACCATATTCGTACCGGGATTGTGCAATATTCTCGCCGGTTCGTCCATTACGTGGTCACTCGCGAATGTGCTATCGCTGTTTTGCACCGGCGATGCGACTGTCGTATTGTTTCCTGCATTTCCTGAATTCTTATTTTTCTTCTTTTTTTTCTTTCCAGTAGCAGTATTTTGAGACTGCGACGAATCTATGTGGAAAAAAGTGTTTGAGAAATCACTTATACAAATCATTGATAAGAAAAACATACGTAAATAGAAATATTGGCTAAGAAGACAAATAAAAGAAGACAAATACGCGACAATATTATATTATACATTATATTGTTAATCTCAACCTACCTTTCTCATTACCTTTCGGTAGCAGGTCTTGCTTGAGTTTGCCCGTGTCCACCACTATGACATTCCCACCTGCCTGTGGATTTGCGTAACTCGACTGAACGCCGCTCATCGGTGCGGCGATGATGGTAGTTTGTTTGGGCGGATTTACTGGTTTCGGCAAAGGGGCCGTTTTGATTGGAATCGGTTTCGGTGGCGCGTCAACCTTCGTGATCGTAATACCCGGTGGTAATTTGAGATTTTCGATGTTGATTTTGGAATTCGGTCCGATGTCTTTAAATTGACTGCTAAGCGATGGCGAACTAACTCGCTCGGAACACGTATTTTGGACTTCCGATGCACGTTGCTTACTTATGGTAGTTTGATTGATTTTATTTACATTACTAGTTTTTTGAGACTCGCTCTTATTCGACACGTTCTTATTGTTCGCATTGGTGCTATTATTTTTATTGCTCTTACTGGTGTTCGATTGTAGATTTTTATCTTGTTGTTGCTGTTGCTTCTTTACCTTCTTATTAGTCGTGGTTTCACCTATAATCTGATTCTGTTGCTGTTTCTGTGACACCGGCGTCGGAGGAGGGGTATTTGTTTTATTTTGCTTTTTGTTGGTCATGTTTTGTTGATTCTTACTCTTATTCATCGAGTTTTGTTGCTGCAACACATTTTCCTTGTTTTCTGTGTTTCTCTTATCTTTCTTTGATTTGGAATTTTTACCTTCATTGATACTTTGCTGCTGGACCTTCCTCTCGTCTACTTGCTTGCCATTTTTCGATTTCTCGTTGTTTGCTTGTTGTTTCATGTTCTTACCGTCACTAGCTTTAATCTGAATTTGTTGCTTCGAATTATTTGATTGCTGTAACTTATTTCCTTGTTGTAAGGGATTACTGTTATTATTCGCTTTAACTTTCTTCTTTTTTCCATTATTACATTGATTTTGTTCTTGCTCCGATTTGTGAGAAGGTTCTTTAGTTTGTCCATTTACTAACGTAAATAGAACTTTATCCTCAGCCGGAGTCTGACCCTTCAGAGTAATCGTGACTGTAGGTTCAGCACTGTTCGAATTTATTTCTCTCCTAATAGTAACTATTTGCGGTTGAGATTCTGTGTGCGCTGCACTCTCAGTTTCCTTCGTTTTCGCTTCTTCCAATTTTTTCATTTCTTTCTTTAATTTTTTTCTCTCTTTTTTCGTCAATTTTTTATCAAGTAAATTGATGTCAGATAATTTATTTGCATTATTATTCGGACTATTTTTCGTAATATTAATACTTGCTGGTGGCTTGCTGCCTTTATTGCTATCAATTTTATCAGTTTTTCCATTATTCTTATTCCCTTGGCTAGAACTCGTATTTCGCACTTCGCATTTTTCCATACTATTAATACTTTTATTTTTCACATTTGAGTTTGCAGACATCGTCTTTGTCTTGTTACTCAAATTAGTAATACTATTGCTACCACAGTTATTATTACTATTGCTACAAACTTCTTGCTTGTCTTTTTTTCTATTATTAAACTGTTGTTTTATCGTAGGTAAAGATGCTGATGGTGATGTTGGCAAAATGGATACTTCTGGTAAATTACATTGAGGCAATAACCTTTGAGGTACAGGTTTTTGAGGATCGACAACAGTGATCGTCACTTCTGGTGTCTTTTTCTGTAATTCTATTAATTTTTGTCTTTCCGCTTCTTGCCTGTCCTTTTTTAACTTTTCTTCAAGCTATCAAAAAAATTAACGACATTAACATTATATAAAATTGAATACAATATGGAATATGTACATACGGGATAATACAGAATAATTTTTATTTAAACAAACCTTTCGTTGTTTCTGTCTTGCTTTCTTTTCGGCTTTTTTGTTGTCTTTCTTTCCGCTCTGATTACCTTCGATGAATTCCAACAACTCCTCTAGATCTCGCTGATCTCGTTGATTATACTGGACCGTGGACGGCGTCAGAATTGGAGTATTCGATCTGAGGATCGAGTTTGTCACGGTCTTGGATTCGGAGTTGGTATTAGAAATTGATGATTCCGACGGACTTTTTTGCGGACTGCATTCGGCTACCACAGTCTTGCACTTTTTCGCTTTCTTCTTCGTCAAAAGTTGTCGCAATCGTTCCCGCATTTCCTTATAATTTCGACTCACCGGCGCGACCGACTGCTAGAAATACATTTTCTTGTTAATTTTCGTTCTCTTCAAACAAACATTAATTTTTTAAAGTTTAACTTACCATCCCATGACCGAAGACTTCACAGTAACAACAGTCGCAGTGTCTCACGTTAGCGTCTCTTTGAGCAGAGCTACTAGTTGAACACGAGTCCTCCTGACTACTCCCAGAATCTGAACAGTCTCCATCCCCTGAACTCACTGAAAAAAGATTAAAAAATAACGTAATGTACAAGTGATAAATATTATTTTAACGGGTATGCACAATATATGTTTACTAACAATCATTACACGACATTCTCTTGATATGTTCGACGTTGGCTTGCTTGTGGCACGCATGCGGTGTATGATTAAGCGGACGAAGTCTGGGGTGAGAACACGGACCTGTGTTTTTTGTTAGATCCGGTAGCGGTCCGTGGGCGTGCGAATGAGTATTACCTGTGTTCGCGTGAAGAAAAGACACACACGATCATGCGTACGATACAATAAACGTAACGTAGAGACGTAGAAAAGAGATTAACCGTCATGGTAACGAAGTACAACGTGAGAACAACTCACTATTTACACCTACCCTGATGCATGCTGTGAGTTTGCGTTGTAGAATGCCTCGTTTGAGTTTGGGCGGATTGCGTGGAACCGGTCTTTACGGCGGGTTTCTGACTCGATTCTGTATTAGCTTTCACGACAGAAGTCGGCGAAGTCGCTTTGGGACGACCGTTTGTTACAACCGTTTCGGGTATGGCTGTTTTTCAACATGTATCATTAAATGAATTTCAATTCGCTGATTAGGTTAATTAAGCAAAAATTATATTTAAAAAAAAAATACTTACATTTAGGCAAACAAGGACATATATCCCACTTGCGTCTTGAATTCAACAGACAAGGACAGGGTGGACTTTCCAGAATCTCCTTTTTCCTTTCCGCTATTTCCTGCGCGTGTTGATAAACACATAAACAAGGTTCTGATTCAGATATCTTCGAGTTGGTATATTTGTGCAAAGTGTCACATATGCCCAAGTCTTTCTTCTTTTTCTCCTCGTTATTTGAATTAACTAATTTTTCCTTGAGTTGCATCATTGTACAACTTGTAGGTATTTCTAAAAATGCATTTATCTCTTCTTTATCTCTCTGAGACATGTCTCTTTTATTATTAATTTATCTTATTCACTTACCTGAAAATCCGTTACTAAGGGATGGAAAGGAGTTTGTCTCATCTTTTTCGACTGTTTCATCCTTACATTGCACATCCTACAAAAAAAATAGGTTAACAATTGATATAAATTATTTGCAAGTTTTACAGAAAATATAATTATGACGATAAGAAATTTACCGTATGGTCTACTCCAGTGTCATTACACATATGACATTCGCATCCTTTTCCATTTTCTAACCCATTTTCCGTGTCGCCAGCGTCATCATTGTGACTCCTAAAACATCAGAATTATTAGTATATAAAGATAAATAAAGAGTAAAGTATATAATCTACAAAAATCTGCATGACATACCTGACCGATCTGATGGCATATTGCGCTAACTGACACGTCGCACGTGTATAATCATAATTGGAATCGCCTTGATCAGCGGCATCTACTTCGGTAGCAGTCAATGCCCCAGCTATATCCGCTAATTTTTGATGCTGAGCTTTATTCCAATCATCTAACAATATTTGAACTATCTCTATGCTCGATGGCATAGTTATGGAATCTGAACTAAAGTCCAATACTGGACTTAACGGTGGACTATCGCTTCCTGATGTATGCGCAATAAGCGATGAAAATTGTCCGTGGATTTCTTGCATTTCACTAAAATATTTGATGCAATGAATTGAAAGAAAAATTATGGAAAAGAATTTTTTTCAAATTTTTATATCTGTATGTATATCTTACTTTCCAATATCAGGCGTTTTATTTAACATGCTACGCTCCATAAGTTTCCGCGTTGTCGTGAACAATTCCCAAGCATCTCTAATTTGTCTAAGTCTCGTCATACGAACAGCTTGTTCTGCACTAAAATCACACTTCGATTATACAATCCTATTTTTCAATCTTCTATTTCAATTCGGTTGAGTTGTACAAAAAACCGACATAAATTAAATGTTCTTCGACTTACTTATATTTATCCATCCATGGCTCTGTTTCAGGCCATAAATTACCAATTCTCGTCATCTCGTCATCAAAAGCTATATATCTATGGACAAGAGCTTGATATTTGGAGCCTTTTAATGGTAATTTTCTCAGCTACAAATGTGAACATGCATGCTTAGATTCGTCAAGTTGCAAACGATACCGATCATGTTTTCAGTAAAATATATTTTACCTGGCTAATAAACGTCGGTAAATTATTTTGCACTAAAGCATCATTATATACATAAATCTGATATAACTTTTTGATGAAACAGTCCCATGTTAAATTAAAATTGAGGCACTTTTTTAATGGTTTTACTAATTCAGAAATTAGTATCGCTGTCGACACGAGAGCATCATAATCATTTAGGAGACCTAAATTGTAAAAAACTCAGGTCACAATTTTATATTTATATTTACATATAACAAAAACATCTTATGAAGAATAGTACTAACCAGTGAGAAAAATTTCAGCTAAATTCACACTACGATCATGTAAAAGAGCGAACAAACGAATTTTTACTTCTATCACAAATTCTTGCGCCTGGCTAACTAATCTCATGAAAAGTTGATGAGAATCTCTTTTACATAATCTATAACAAAAGATTGTATCATATAATAGTTTATTTAACAATAATGGTGTAAACAATATCCAAATTTTAAAAAGAAGTTTCTTACTGCATAACAGTGTTGTGCATGTTAGTAGTGAATCTGCCATGATGAGATTCTGGAGACTCAAATATATGAGCAGTTTCCAGAGCGACATTAAAATCAGTACGTATATACTGTCGCAGTTCTGTCCATAGGTTTTGAAAATTCATAGCCTTTTGTAACTCCTCTCTAAACATATCTCTACACATACACAAAACACTTTCAATTAACATCACATTCTTGTTCCTGTTTCTTCTACTTGAGCTTTTGCTGTCTTTACCGTTTAGCTTTGTAGTCTGCTGTATTATCACAGGAGCACGACTCTTTTCCAAGGCGTGATTGACTATCCATAGCAGCTGCAGAATACAATTTGGCGAACGCGTCAGTGCTTACAAGAGACGACTTGCGACGATCTTCGTCAGCTACTCTCGCGCCTCTAATAAATGCATCGATCACACGCTGATCGGTTGTCCCACACTATGAAAAAATATTTAATATCATAAATTTAATTATATAATAGAATTTGCAAGTAAAATAAAATACATATTTATCAATGAAAAAAATATAATAATATGTATTACATAAACCTTTAAAGTTTTTTATGAAATGAAATTAAAATGGTGTCTAATAATAAGCCTATTCTTTTGCTTTAAATAAAATCCTCTGTTTGTTTTGTTTTGTATTATAATTTTTCACAATGCTTTATTTGATTTTTCCATTTTTTAACAATTTGTCATTAAATATTTTGTCATAAAATTTACACAGGATACAGAAATACCATAATTCTTTACTTAATATATATTATAAAATATATTACAAAATACAGATCGTGCAAAGAATTATTTAATTATCAAAGCTAATTATCAAAGCTTCTTCTATGTTTATATAAAAAAAAAACTTCAATTATAATATTAAAGTTGTAGTAAAAATAGTTTATAAACAAAGAAATATCAGATTTTAATAGATATCATGTTCACAAAATAATTTAGAACTTTAAAGCTATAGCTTACTTCTGTTTCAATACTAACATCGATGCAACATGGTTCTACCAGGATAATAATTTCAGAATAATTGGTTTACAGGTAAAAAAAACTAATCTAATACAAAAAAAGCATGGAGCTGGTGTATACAATAGACACATCTTGAATGATTCTTCTTCAAGGTGATAATATCAACAATAAGCATATATACATAACGTTAAAGTAGTGTATTAACAATTTTCAAAAAGAGGATAAAATCACAATTAAACTTATGATTAAAAACTTTCGCCTCGTTAACGACAACAGAATCTCTTCTCACAGAGAATTCATACTACACGGCAAGCGTCGGTTCTCTCTAATTATATAACTATTATTTTGTCGTAATTAAGCTGATCGACACATTCGACGGCGTAAAGTGGCTAAGGATGACATACCCCGGTAGGATCGTAGCCCGCGACCGCGGGGAACACGCGAGCGTCCCCGTTCCCGTGGTCGCTCGGCGCGTCCGTGTCCCGGCGCGTCCGCGCGAGATCGTTGCGGTTGCCGACGGCGACGGCGTCATCGTTGCTCCGTCGTTTCACCGCCGTCGCCGCGGGACCGTCGTCACCCATCATCGCTATGTTGTTTTCCCTAATGATAGTGGCTGCAGCGGTGGTAGTAGCGGTGATGATGGTGTTGGAGTTGATGGTGGTAGTAGTGGTGGTGGTAGTGCTCTTCTCGCGTCGACCGTCCTCGCCGTGGCTGTCGCTCATGACAGCGCTGCTACGCCCGTCTGGGTGGCACGCGCGTCACGATGCACCGTCGGCACCAAGCCGTGCGTACTCCAGACAACGAGCCACGGGATCGATGCGCAACTTGTATCACGGATTTTACCCGGAAATACCGCGTAAACACTGCAGGTCACACATTCGGACGCACTCGCAACCTCTTGTCAATATGGCGCCTCGCTTCGCGTGCGATCGTCCTGTCCGCGCACCGACCATGGATCTGACACGACAGCGCGACACGACGCGGCATGCTCTGGAAGCAGTAATTCTCGGTATCCGTGGCCTAATCGATAAGGCAGATCGCCGATAGCTCAACAGTCTACACTAAACTTTTTCCGTTTATCCTCATTCGGTTAAAGTAAATGGAAGAGTATGAGAGGGAATTTTACGCATTTACATGAAGTATCTATTTCTCTTTAGAATATTTTAGAATTTTTCTTTAAAATTGAATCCAATGCTTCATGTTCTTCGATGTGACAAGAGAACAAACGAGATGAGTCCATAATTAAAAATATACCTAATTGCTCTCAAGTTATTATTTCTTATGGGATTATTGCTCTTGAACGACGAGCGAATCGATCGCGACACCGACTCCGTCTAGATTAATAGTTCTAGTCCGTATTCCAATCAGTACAAAAAAAATCTATAGTTTACGTTACATATACTATAGATTGTTAGTACTCAGGAAGATAGGACTGTTCTTTTCAGCTGAACTTCTTGCACCATTCGTCTTTTTTCTTCACGTTAGAGAGAAAAAGAGGAAAGCTGAATGATACAAGAAGTTCAAACCTAAAAGGAACAAACCTATTGATCGGTCGATTCACTATCATACGAGTTTACGCATTTGCGTTTTTTTCCATCTGTCGTTGTCCCAACTTGAATGGGGAAATTCAATTCGATTATTTCAGAACGCGAACATATCACGTCCAATAGCTCCGCGCCAATAGCGGCTAAATTCATGGCGATACGACCGCTCACTCGTATCCGTGGCCATGTTTTAGAACGCGTTTACGCCAACCAGCGCGATTCAAGTTGATTAACATTTCCCTGCTGTTCATTCATATTTATATTCGTGAAACGGATATCGCGATGTCGTAAGATCGTCGCGACGAAGTCCGCCGTGCGTTAAAATTAATACCGCACGCCACTCGTCGCTCAGTTATACGCGATATACGCGTTCTTCTCGCCGCGGTGGATGTGCGCCCAGTGCACTCACAGCCAACTTCAGAGGCGTGTCATGTTTGCGCTCGGCGCGTTGCTTCGTGATCGGGATCGTCGCGTTTCGTCATCGGGAATCTATGAAAAATGCTGTCGCTAGGCCCGAAAAAGGACGGCGGACCCAACGCCAAATTCTTCGAGGCACCGGAGATTCTTACTCAGCTTGACGGTGTTAAGCAGTGGCTGCTCAAGAACTGCAAGAAGGTACGCTCGTTTTATGAGAACATGGATACCACCCGGCGTCGTAAACCCGCGGTGCTGCGTACGGCTTCGCTTCTTTCTATCTCGAACGCGGTACGCGTGCCCACCGATCGCAATCTTTTCCATAAATCTGATCGGTGTCTTTTAGAAAAAAATTTTCTCAAGAAAAGGTTTCTCGAGAATTGTCGAGATGCCCCGATATAGCTTCCATACTCACCGGACGCGACGCGATCATCATGATGAGTCTGTATAGTAGATTCGTTTTTCGTTTATCTATCTTATATTTTTATATATTCATAGTATATATGTATGACATATATGTGTATATGTATAATATAGATTTAGATATATATGTGTTTAAGCAAGAAATCAGTAATTTTCTACATGTATTAATCAATATATATAATTACCAAGTTTTACATTTTTGCTGTAATATATATTTTTTAAAAATAAATTGATAAAATATTTATAGAAAAATGTGATTGTATTTAACAAATTCAAGTGATATTTATATATAAACTTTTATTAATTTTTAGTATTATATTGCTGATTTCTTATGTAACTCCTTTCTGTGATTCTTTGTAGTATGTACAAACGGATCCGCCCACTAATAAGAGCTTAGCCACATTGTTGGTACAGCTTCTGCAGTTCCAGGAAGATAATCTCGGAAAAAATATATCAAAGCCACCTATGACTAGGCTTCCAGTATGTAAAATATACATTATGAAATAATAGAAATAATTGATATTGTGTTTTAATTCAATAATTTAACTCTTTTACAGATGAAATGCTTCCTGGATTTTAAGCCTGGTGGTGGTGTATGTCATATATTAGCTACCGCTTATCGTTTTAAGCAAGAGCAAGGATGGCGACGCTTTGATTTTCCCGGGGGGAAAGTAATTGTTTAAAAAATATATATGTACTTTTTTACAGAGAGAAATATTTTTATATTATATTAATGATCCTGCTTTTTATACTAAAATTAAGGTGGAACTCCGCACTGACCAAAGAATTATTTTTATTACAGTCGGGATCCCGTATGGATCGTACAGTGGATATGCTGATGGCGGCAGAACGTGCTTTAATACAGAATAGATGTATGACTGTACCAAGTATTTTTGTGAGACCAGACGTCGATAAAAACACAGCTGCGAAAGTAAAGGACGTAGTTAGAAAGCACCAGGGGACCGTTGTAGAGAATGAGGCAGATGCTACTCATATTATCTATCCTCCAGTAGATCCATTGGAAGAGGAATATGCGCGTCCCTGTATGAGACGCGAGCGATCAGTTCTAATTCACTGGTACTACTTTCCAGACAGTTATGACTCTTGGTTAACATTGGATCTTCCATGGGATTATCCTGAAGGGGCTTATACAAATACAAATTCAAGGTGCTCAGATATTTTATAATCTTTTAATATAAATAAATTGATGTAAATTTAGTTATTATCGAGAGCTAGATAGTTAATTGAAATTAATTGATATTGTTGGTCATTAATATCACATGAAAGCATTGCTGGCAAAACATTTCTACTTGTATGTTTAATTCACATACAAATTCTAAATATAAATTAACATTTTTAATAATAAGTTTTGCAATTATTTTTTAGATCAATGTATAAAGTATCCGCTACGTGGGCGTTAGACTTAGAGCAATATAACGAGTGGATGAACGAGGAAGATTACGAAGTAGATGACAACGGTCAGAAGAGAGTACATAAATATAGGCTCTCGGTGGAAGATTTGATGGCACAACCGTCCCATCCGCCACCCGCAAAGAAACCTAAAAGAAAACGATCACCTAGTCCACCTCCGAAGCTCGGCAAGCGTAAAAGGTACAGACACTTTTGATAGTAAATCCAAATTTCAAATAGGATATAATAGATCTATTGCTCAACTTAGATTTCGTATGTTGTCGTTTTTAGTAGTAGAGCACCGTCGGGTATTCAAAGCGCTTCCTCTGCGTCATCAGCGACAGCTCCGAAGAAATCGCGTGGGGGTGAGGAAGAGGAAGATCTGACTCAAGGAATGGAGGATCCGCCTGCCGAGCCTCGAATTGTCGAGGTAGTCGCTACGCCCACGAATCCACCGATCACAGGTCAAAGTAATGCAACAACAGGCAACTCCACTTTAGCGTCTACCGGTAATAAAAAGCAGGATAGCGAGCTGCAACCTCTCAAATCCGGCAATTTAACTGATCTTGATGAACAAATGGAAGGTATGTCAGAAAATTTTGACAATAATTTAATATTGTGATGTAATGTATTTTAAAAACATCATCTGAATAACTAGAAACTTATCAAATTATTAATTTAATGAATTATGGATTAAAATATCTCAATATCTTATAGGAGACAAAGGAAGCTCTCAAGGTGGTCAAGATAGAGAAGAGAGAGATACTAGCAAAGAAAGAGGAGAAGGTGGTAAGGGCGACGAACCCGAGGACAATGTGACAGAGCAAACGCACCACATTGTCGTTCCTAGTTACTCCGCCTGGTTCGATTATAATTCGATTCACACGATCGAGAAGAGGGCTCTATCAGAATTTTTTAATGGTAAAAATAAATCGAAGACTCCGGAAATCTATCTTGCGTATAGGAATTTTATGATCGATACCTATCGATTAAATCCAACGGAATATATTACATCAACCGCCTGCAGGTAATTTTATTCGCATGTAATGTTTTATTAACGCATGTAAAGTTGTTATATTATTATTATTATTACTATAAAAGAAGAAAAACTGTTTCTCTTTACACGTATATGAAAACATTGTTATAGACGGAATTTAGCTGGGGATGTATGTGCAATCATGCGCGTGCATGCATTTTTGGAACAATGGGGACTCATTAATTATCAAGTAGATGCAGAATCCAGACCGACGCCAATGGGACCTCCACCGACATCGCATTTCCATGTTTTATCAGATACACCGTCCGGTTTGGCACCAGTCAATCCGAATCCGCCGAAAACGCCACAGCCATCTGCTGCAAAGATGTTACTTGATTTAGAGAAGAAACCAACGAGCGGGACGGGCGCTTTAGGTACAGAGGAGAAAGTTTCGGCAGGCGCAATGGCAAATTTCGGTCTGAAGATTGATCAATATTCGAGAAAACCAGCAGTATTGAAGAATAAACAAGCAGCGGGCGCTACGCGTGATTGGACAGAACAGGAGACGCTTCTGTTATTAGAGGGATTAGAATTACACAAGGACGACTGGAACAAAGTATGCGAGCATGTCGGTTCAAGAACGCAGGATGAATGTATCTTGCACTTCTTACGTTTACCTATAGAGGATCCATATCTGGAAGAGGGCGGGCCCGAAGGATTAGGTCCATTGGCTTATCAACCAGTACCATTCTCGAAAGCAGGTAACCCCGTTATGAGTACGGTTGCTTTCCTAGCATCGGTCGTAGATCCCAGAGTAGCCGCAAGCGCGGCAAAGGCAGCTATGGAGGAATTCGCTGCGATAAAGGATCAAGTACCGGCTGCATTAATGGATCAGCATTTAAGAAACGTTCAAGCTAGCGCATCAGACGGTAACTGTTCTAACTATATTATAAATTAAAAGTTAATGGCATATTTTTACGGAAATTTAATAATCTTCATAAGAAATGAAAATTGCAATCTTTTTATTTTTATATAGGTAAATTTGATCCGGCTGCAGGCTTAGCGCAATCAGGTATTGCCGGCACAGGACCGCCCGAACCGCCTGATGACACAGCAACTACTGCGTCAACAACCTCGTCTGTACCGACAGGCGCGGCTAGCTCTCCGCATTCCACGGCGTCAATTGCCGAAGCGAAAAAAGAGGAACAAGATAAGTCTAAAGATGCCATGGAGGTCGAACCATCTCAGGTGGATGTCACGAAGAAAGAAGATGAATCTAAGGAAGGTGAAGAGGATGCAAAATCCACCGATCCAGAAGCCGCTGAAGCAAAGGAGAAAAAAGACAAGGTGAGATTTCATAATGACATGAATTTATTTATATATTTTCTAAAAATATCAAAATTTGTAGACAATTGATATGATTGATAATTCGGTCGATTTAAATTTTATCCTTTTCTTCTCAGGTCGTGAGAGACGCCCAACTGCAATCTGCTGCAGCAGCGGCACTAGCTGCTGCGGCTGTTAAGGCTAAACATTTAGCAGCTGTCGAAGAACGCAAGATCAAATCACTTGTCGCGTTACTAGTCGAGACACAAATGAAAAAGTTGGAGATCAAACTGCGTCACTTTGAAGAATTAGAAACCACGATGGAGCGCGAACGGGAAGGACTCGAGTATCAACGACAGCAGCTCATCACCGAGCGACAGCAATTTCATCTGGAGCAACTGAAAGCAGCCGAATTCAGAGCACGTCAGCAGGCCCACCAACGATTAGCACAAGAGCAACAGCAGCAACAACAACAACAGAATCAACATCCACCCTGGCAACCTCCCGGTACACAGCAGCAACAACAACAGCCACCGAGTCCGCAGGCTCAACCGCAACAACAACCACCACCGCACACGCCGCCACAACAAACATAACTCTTTCGTGAGTTTGAATTTTTAAGTAGTTTAGTAGTTAGTCATAAACTTTTACGGAATATACGACGTATTAATTAATTTCTATAGCATTTCACAAATCTTTTTCGTTGGTATTCAATGACGATTATTTGTCTCTAAACTATAAATTTCGTTTTCAATTATATAGAGTGATTTTATATCATTTTAAGAAATTTTCATATCTCCAAGAAGGAATAAATATAGTTTGCAAAAATTTCTCCGAATTTTTTATTTCTATTAATAGGAACGCACATATTAAATTATACATGAAGAATTATACATGAAGAAATTATCCTTCTTCATATATCACATATGTGAAAAAAAAGAAAAGATTTCGCGCGAAACAAATTTATACTATTCTTTTTCAATGATATATTGTAAGAGTTATAAAAGACATACACGTGACATACATCATATGTATTATTACATACATGTTGTCGAATAATGTGATGCCTGATCTACAAAGCTTCGTTGTCTATCAATTCCAACACTAAGTCAGTCATGAGTCGAGCACACTCAGCACCTCCGCGTGGCGGTGCTCCCGCAGTATTATGTTTCTCCTCGCTAGTTTCTGCGCTACTTTCGTATAGATTCGGCGCCTCGTCGCTAGCGCATGTGCTAATCGGTAAAATATCCAACGCCAATCCCAAACCGAACCGTCCACATCTTCGCATTTCTTCTTTCAATCTGTAATCGTAGAGTAAACAACAGCATCGAAAAGACTGCGATCAAACCTTTTTAAATCTTATTTTTTTAATTTAATAAAAATAGTGAATACTTCTTTTTTCTTTTTATGAAATTAAGATTCAAAAACAAATAAGCTCTCTTTGATTATATAATTATTAAATTACTGCTAAATGTATAAGTAGTAAATTTATATTACAATTTTTTGTTGCACATGTTATTGAATTTTGGCATTTTACTTACAATTTCCACATAACAGACGAATCTTTCGGCGGCTGTTCCGGATTAAGAACGCGCAAAGAGGACATCAGATGGGAATGATAGTGCTGAAGAAGCTGTGTCATATAAGCTCGCCTAACAACACCACTCGTGCAGCAGTATAGCAAGTTTGCAAGATCAAGAGCGAGTGAACCGACCCGCGTCAGTTGAAAATCGACTAGATAAACGGCCTGCAGAAGCACAGTATTAAAAGTCAAGTGTAGGAGATTTTGCAGTGAAGCGCATCTCACATTCGTGCCAGTCAATATTGTCAGAGTCTCGAATGTGATTTACAGATCATAACGTGAAGTAAATATTCTTGCATCATACATCTGACTGTTTTCACTTCTTGATGTTGATCATGTCGAATTATTTATTTCGTCATGCCTAGCGCATGAATGAGAAATCAAATATCCGAGAAAAAAAATTAAGCTTGAGTGTAAAATGTACATTATACATTTTTTGAATTTTTTTTCCACTTTTGGACATTATATATAATTATATATAATTTTACATTACGATTTTTCAAAGAATCAACGATGTCGGAATTTAGTTTAATTATATATAATGCATAATAATTATACATAATGCAAGAATTTTTGCGATCGATTGTGATCTAGGGTGTGATCACTTTCGCTAAACCAGAATCTTTTTAATAAGATCGCAAATGGAAGAAACATTTGAATCATATAAGAATCTTATAAATTTATATAATAAAAGTGTATGGAACAACAAAAGTGTTTCTCGTTTCGTTATCTCGCTAAGAAAGAAGAAACGGAGGAAGATGATGGTCATCATCCAACGATAATAATCCTTGACCGGATACGTGCAACTTTTTGTTATAGATAATCAGATAATGCAATGTGTATTGCGTTTTTTAATTTACTTTTCTTATAAATAAAAAATTCACCTCTGTATCTGAGCTTGGTTTATCCTGAAAGAGGAAATTATTGGTCCAACAATCACCGTGACAAAATACGGAGAGAGGTCCTTGCGTGGAGATCAGTTCGCTCATAGTACGGAAAAACACATCTTCGTTTAGGAAAGCTTGTAGCTTTGTCATTACCTCCACTCTTCTATAATCCATGTGCGGAGGAAGTGCCTCAGACACCATCATGATAGCATTATTCGCGGCCACACGATAATACTGACGGTACCAATCTTCGTTATCCCGTCGAAATAACGTCTCTTGTATACCTTGATCATGTCGCGGATTTGATAAATTCGCGAACTCGTCCGGCCTTCAAAGATTATCATCTTTTTGCATTAAAATTAGAAGACGAGAATAATGAAACAAAATTGCAAAGTATTTTTTTTTTTTTATTATATGATTATCATTAATATTTTTAATTGCGATTCCTTAGCGTATAGTTTATTTCTAGAAAAATCTGATTAATCGTCTCGAATAACTCGACCTAAGATAATTCATTTTTATGATTACAGGCCAGTTGTACTTACCTGCATTCCTTTAATGTCAAACTAAGTGCGTGAAAGCCTGCCAAGGCTTTTAGCACATGCTTCAAATTCTCTACTTCCAATCCTTTTCGTCTGTCTGCCATCTTAAATCCTCTCTCCCGCAAATCTTCCATAGCGATAAGATTGGCTTTAGCGGCATATATCTTAGGTACTCCACTGAATACTCTTTTGCCATTTGATTGAAGCCTATCCAGCGCAGGCCATACATGCTTATAAAACACGACCTCATTTCTGAATAGCAACTCGCTCTTGAACGCCTCGCGACGCTTCTTAGATTCCGGCAGTATTTTATAAATGATTGCACATTCATAATTAATCCATTCTTCATTTTTTAACAGCTTGCGTCCCTTTGCTCGGACTCGATACAACATCGAAGTGTAGTTGTCTCCTCTTCTTGATCCTGGTTCTTCTTCCAAATTATCAATCTTCACGTCAGGCTCATCTTCGATAATTAATTCGCGGATGTCGTCGAGAGTGAGCCTGTTACTACCGTCGCTGTCCATTATTTAGCGAAACTATCAGAAACTCTAATTTTTATGACAATGATTCTGATATTTTCTCGATTTTTGCGAATAGAGTCGGCTCTAACATCCTATACTTCACAGTAGACCAGAGAGTGCTGACTGACGCAGGAAATGAGTATTTGAGCGGCTGGAGCGGTTGAAGGGTTGCTACCTCCCACTGTTACTGAGTTAATTCATTAATGATTCACGCCCCCTCAACTCTAAAAGACAAGGACATTGATACATGTTAATCATATGCCTCGTCGTTTAGATTCATCGCTTTGATTCTCTGAAACGCAACGCGGGTTCGTCGCGCGATATATAGAATAATGACGATACAAAGAGCTTTCCTTCAATAGGAATTTTTTTCAAATTGATATAGTTACAATTTTATACAATAGAGAAGTGTGTATAATATATAAATATTCTTAAAGATTTCTATATTATATACTATATTATATACGTTTATTTGCATTAATAATATATAATATTAATAAGAACTTTATTTCGAAGAATTAATTCTCATCAGAAGACTGCACTTGCAGAATATCGTTACCCATTAAGCTAATTAACATATTCTCCTGGGTGGCGGTAAGGGAAACAGTTTTATGTAACTTTCTAGCCATTTCCCCGGCTCCTTCTAGATTATGAAAAGTGACATATTCCAAGAGCGCCTAGAAGCAAATGCAACGATATTATAATAGATCAATTAATATGAATATCTAACGTAAAATAAATGTAGACTTACGAAAATCGTTGGTACGTATGCTTGCGTCAAACATAATTCGAATATTTCGTTTATGTGTTCTGTCGTCAGGTTACTTTTTATTAAATGCGGTGAATGAATCATTGAAGATATAATTTCGACTGTTTTATCGAAATTATTTCCACGTAATAACAATATTATGATATTGGCCATCTGCGTATTGGATACTAACGTGTGTTGTATCTTTCTTCTATTCTGAGCCTGCATTAAAAAATAAAACACAACCGTATATTATTTCAATATGTCTTATCATAAAAATAAAGTCTTATAAGTAGCGGCTTTAATTTTAACAACATATTATCTATTTAATCTGATCTATTATTTATGTTAATCGATTAAATTCTTTTCCTTCAATCCCATGTAACTTGGGAAATATTAGTGTATCAACATTTGGGAACTAAAAATTTATTCTAAATTTGTTAGATAATATGTTAAACAAGCTATGAAATACGTGATGAATGAAATTAATTTGTGGGATTACTTGTATATGATCCCAGATAGTGAGCGCCATTCCCGCAAATTGCGCGTTTAATGGAGAATCGGGCGCGGGTTTACAATGTACGCTCATCAAGTGCAATATGTTCTCTAATAACTGTTCCCTGTCCAGATGACCGAACATAATCATGTGCGACCAGAGTTTTGGTATATATTGCGTGGCAGTCTCCGCGGGATGTAATTGAAGAGCTTCCAATATAGCACTCATCACAGCAGGTTCCGGTATAGTCACGTGCGGTACAAGCCTGTTATAAAGCTTGAAGAATGTGTCGAATTCTTCTGTTGCCAAAATTAACTCCAAATACATTCGGTAATAAGTGTGCTCCTGAAATAAAATATTAACTGCACTAGATATTAAACGCAAGATAATTGATATATATTTTAAATCTCACAAGAAAAAATTATTTTAGGTATTTTAACTGTCGACAAGTATTAAATTCTATTCAAATAAAAAATCTTCATGAAAATAACAAGATTAAGAAAATAGAATTAAGTATTTTTTTCTTTTATATGTGTTAATTTTTATATTTTATTATCAACCACAAAATATTTTTTTCATAGCACGTGGCGTTTCCCAAACAGAATGCTGACTGTTAAAAACTTAAAAACTTACTTTAAAATTGTCCCCGATAAATTTGTAATTTTCACCGGAGAGGAGAAGCTCGTTCACCATTTCGCCCGCTTGACGATCACAAAACTGTTGAGATGCCATTTCCATCGCTGTAACGAAAAAATCTAAATCTCTCTCATTTTGAATGGTAAGACTTTCCTCTTTCAAAGATCTTAAAATTTGTATAAAGCTATTGTATGCCGCATCACCTATTTCATAAAATAAACTTGTGAGCATTCGAACACGCGAAATTTTTTATTTGAAAATATGGAGATAAATAATTACCGAATTTACTTAAAATTTTTAATACATAATAATAAGTAGTTAACGATGGCTTTAGTTTGAATTTTGTGATATCAGCGAGTATGTTACGTGTAAAATCTAAAGCTACTTGATTGTTTTGCATAACAACTGCTACGTTGAGGGCGGCATTAAACGTGTGTATATTTGGAGTAACCCCGTTCGCCGCCATTGTTCTGTATATATCTTTTACCGATGATTTTGATTTATCGTCTCCTCGCTTTAATTTTGATAACATCGAGATCATAGCATTGTATCCATTGATGGCTAACGGTATATTTTCTTTTTGGCTTTCATCATACAAGTGCCAAGCCTTTTCCAACTAAAAAAGAAATTATATCAAATTTTATAATGTTCTAAGACGTACAATAAAAAAATATTAACATAATAAGAACCAGAGCATGACAAAACACAGAATCAACAAAACACAAATACTTAAAATCTGTTCGCTGATTAAAGATCTTTATTAACAATAAAAAATATACGTGTTTGATCTAAAATTAGTTTTAATTTTGGACGTTTTTATTTTTTGATGTTATTCGCTAGAGTCCAATTTTGGACCAAACATATATTTTTCGATATTAATAAAGCTGATCATCAGATGAATCTAATTTTCCTTTCCCTTTTCTCTATCACAGCACATTTTTTAGATATAAATCTATTTTAATTAAGTTATTCTTATAATTGATTCAGGATGAATCTTACGTTAAAAAATTTAATCAAACCACATATCATCGTGGTATATGCAGCAGCTGCTACTTTGGGTTCTTGTTTCTTTAGAAATTCAAACAATACATCGATATGTGGATAATTTCTGCAAATTACAATAAAACACACAGTATTATTTAAAAATTGACAAGAAAAAGGTAATATTCATTTCGATGGACTCACATCCAAGTATATTTGTTACGTTTTTGATTTAATTTATACCAATGACTCTCCAGCAATTCATCGCTAGTAGGTTCAATGTTATTGTAAAAGCATAACAATTCTAAGAATGCCTGTTTCGTCGGTATTGTTACCTCACCCCCTAACAAATCATATATCGTGGTAGAGTTGGGAATGTGACCATTTGATATCTCGTATAATAATGTTTCTTCCGTCACTTTACTTTTCTCTGTGTAAATGGGAGGCGGCACAAATGCCTAAAGAGATAAATGTATATAATATAAAATATCAAATCAATGGACTTACTTTATTATCAATGAATAAAAATGAAATATATAAGAATTGGCAATCAGAGATGAACATATTGTTGTGAATGTACGATTAACGAAAGAGTTTGATTACCTTAATTTCAGGATCTGCTACTTTATGTTGAAACAGATCGCGATGTTCCTGACGAATCCACATTGCAGCTTTCTTTCCAGATTCTTTCGCCAAGGCGTACGAGCGACTTTGCATTGTTGACAGTGGCATTAAATAAGGGTCATCATGAAATTTATAATGTGGTGCTGTATAATCTCTAGATATTGTACTTTCCAGAGCCTAGAAGACAAATCATCACAATACATTGATGAAAGCACCGTACAAATAAATTTACTTCTACTGTCAGCAATGAAACAAAGTACTAAAAATTTGATTCACCTTGAGAATATCTGTCGGGCCACGTTCTATCCTGTTTGGAATATGAATCTCTGAGGAAGATGATGTTGCAGTTGTCGATTGTAATCGTACCATCAGCTCCTGGAATTTCCTGCGAATATTCAAAGTACATTTTTGAAAATTGTCTGAATTATTGCTATATCATATTTTGTAACCATCTCAAAAACAAATGTATATTTTTGAATAAATTATCAATACTTGATTGAATTACATAAATGAAATATGTATATGAAAATTAAATCAAACAAAATGATTAAAATTTACTTTTTAACATTTCAAGATTGTTTCGGCACTTCTGTCACATTGTTGGCGCGCAACATAAAAGCTTGGCGATTTCGCTTGAAAAGATAATTGAGCTGCAAGCCAAATTCTAATTCGTTACTTACCTCCGCGAAATTTTCGCTAAAGAATTCATCGTGCTAGTTTCAGAGATGAGAAAAATTTAACCTTTCAATATTTACAGTCGCAAGTTTGGGAGGTTAGGATTCCAGAGTCCGAGTCATGTAAGATTAGGTTAGGATTAAGCGCGATACATCGCAGTAGGCGAGCAATGATTCTCCGCGACGAATCGACGATAAATCTGTTTTAAATATTTTACTAACGCGACGAAATGAATTAAATTGCAATTAGGTATGTTGTACCTATTTTTTTATATTTAAACTCATTAGGTAAAATTTCTCATAATTTTTTTAAGCGAAATCGAATTTGGATTAACCTAACCGGTTATCTAGTTCAACCGGCAGAATTGCCTAGGCATAAAATAAAATAAGTATTTAATATCTAATTTATTGTAATTTGACTTTTTGTTTATCAACCAAAGAAACACTAATAATTTTACATCTTAACAAAATAGATATCGATAAAATAAACATCATTTAAGTTAATCAAAGTTTAATCGTAATTCGTAAAAGAATATGAGTACATGACAATCATCTGATTGTTTTAAAATTCCTCAATATTCCTCAACAAAAAGCCAAATGTAAATTATAACTCATTATTGAAAACAATAAATTTAAGGTCCAAAGATGAGCAAGCAGAAAAGTTAAAAATAAAATCAAAGATTGTTTATTAAATAACTGAAACATAATCTTTGTTTTTATATCTTAACTTCTCGGTTTACTCTCGCTTTTACCTCCTAAATTATTTGTACATTTTACGGAAGCTTTCTTACGCATAGACGTATAATTTAATGTACGCATAGATTGTATAATTTAATTAAAAATTTTATACAAACGGATAAAAGAAGGCAAATTTCGATATCTAAAAAGTATATTAGAGTAAATTAATAAAATTGTTGAAAAATAGTAGACCGAATAAATTTCGCACGATTTAAAATTTTCAATAAAGAGGAGAATCTTCTCAAAAAGAAATCTCGGAAAAAAAAGAAACGCGCAGATTATGCAGATTACGGTACATTTATTGCAACGCTCGTTGCAACGTTGTCGAACAAATACGTCGATACAAATACGATCGATACGCTCAGCTTCGCTCTCGTTAGTGCTTCTCTATGCACCAACTGCATGTTGTGATGTTAGTTCCACCTGGCCTGGTGGTGCATTTACAAGTATCCGTATCGGCATGGATTAACCCCGGGCCAGCTTACGTCAATCTCTCGTAGCAATGGGACATCTGGTCCGTTGGCTATCCTTAGGCTTCGCTTCTCGTAACGGAAATGTGCACTATATACAAGATTTTCCCAACATTTTCTCGTCACATTATTCTTAATTGTATATATCTTAATTTTCTAATATTCTCAATTGTTTATCTTAATCTTAATTCATCGATATAATTATGATTCGATCATCAGCTTTCATTAACTTAAATAATTTGTGATAATTTGTTACCTATGAATTGCACAGAAAAAAAAACGATCAAACGAGTGATGTTATACAGTTAAAACATTCGTTGTAAATATAATTCTGTCGGGTTAAATTAATTAATCGTCAGTTAAGCTAATTATTCAATAATAATTATTCAATTATATAATAATTATTCAATTTAGATGAAATCACAACAAAATAGATTTCGGTGACATGTGCTCCAGGTGCATCAAAATCGATGCACCTTTAGATGCTATATGAAATGCAAAACATACGCATTTAAAGAGAAAAATGTATGTGCTCGCATAAATATGTTATAATGTCAACACATATAGATCATCAAAATACGTAAAATGCGCAAAATTACGAATGAGAAAATCTACCCTAAGATCTAAGACGGGAATTATAAATCACCTAAAGAATAGGTCACCTAAAACATTTACGATATCTGATGCACTTGCGACGGATTAACACTTTACACAGTAGCACGAAAATTAATTCTGTTGACAGTGAAAAAAAAAGAAATTAAATTATCGCTGCATAATATTAGAATGCACGATGACCCACTTACGAACGCGCTTATACGGAATACGTACGTCATCGGTAAATGCATTGTTCCTTCATTGTAGCGGCAGCTGGCCTCACCACCGTCACCACTACCACTATCGCCACCATCACCACCACCACCGCCACCACCATCACCATCAGCACCGTCAAGCAGAGGGTACATCTTGCACCCTTCTTCATTAAATAGCTCAAGGTATCATCCTCTCCTTGGTTTTTAACGACGATGTAGGTATGTACTATACTATATACGAGCCGCAGCTGCTCTCCTCTCTCGTGGAAAAGGAAGGTACGGAGAGACGGAGAGAGAGAGGAAGAGTGGCAGATAGAGATTCGTTTCTTTCAACGAATTTATTTGTTTAGCATATGAATGGCGCGCGCGAGAGTGCGCGTTCACGGTTGCGCACGGTGAACCCTTTGGCATATTACAAAGAAGAATTCAATAAAGTTCGTAAGGAAGCCCGGAGGGAACCAGTCTCCGGCCGGAGGCCGGAGAAAACGAGAGAGGAGAGAGACGGAGAGAACGAGAGAGAGGATGTATGAAAGGAAACGCGAGAGTGAGAGAGAATTCCCTCCTCTCCGTGAGAACGCGGGTTTGTACCTTATTCTGGGCCTCATGCACATCAACAGGGAGCAAAGAGAAATCTTTTTTTTTTTTTTTTTTTTTTCCAGAAAACAGCTATGAGTTCGCTCGGCAAACTTTGATACAGTCATATATTTCAGAATATTTCATACTTGAATGTGTACAAATGAGATTAAATGTTCTTATTTTGAGTTACGTAGATTCTCCTCGGCCGTATGTAGAATCGCTATCCTTAATTGACGTACGAATGTATTAGATGAAAAACGAGAAAGAAGAAAAATTTTCTTCCTTTATATCGAAAAAAAACTTGCGTGTAGGATATAAAACGTATATAAGTCTCTGAAGCATCAAATACCAACTTTGTTTTATTCATATCTCCTTTTAAATAAATATCTTTCTCGTCTATCTCATCTATTGACTTTATTTCAACACGTACATTTTATCGTTTTAAATTTTCTAATTCCTGATTATTAGCATCACGTGTATACAAAGCGTGTATACATATGTATACTGTTTCGTGATCAAACTCGCTCTTTCTGAAGATCGAGAAAATCAATTCGGACTTAATCTTATCGATCTTCCACTTGCACAAGATTTTCAGAATTCATTCTTCAAACATTCGGTATGTACACACTGTTGCGACACAAAATGCGATAGAACGAAACTGTATTCTTTTTTTTTTTCCTTCGCTTCAGGCCAGCTAGAGCTCTATTGCGCCGTGTGTCTGAAAACGACGAGGAGCGTGCACCCGTGTACGTGCACGCGTGCATGCGTATTGCATGCACACGCGGACGCGGGAGGAAGGGAGGGAGGGCGGGCGGGCGGGCGAGCGAGAAGCCAGGTGTTTTATTTCAAACCGTGGGGACTCTCCTTAAAGAGAGGGATGCTTTTTGCGCGTCGTGCGGAGCGCGCGCGTACACGCGCTTTCGTCCCGTCCCGTCCCGTCCCGTTTTGTCCCGTTCGCGGAAGCGAGACGGAGATGGCGTTAGGACGAATGAAAAACAGGATTCGCGTCTTCCCTCCGCGCTCTTCCACGGGAAGCCCTCACTACTTTTATTGTGTTTCCTTGTTCGATCGAACGTAACGTAAACCCCTCCCCTCCCCCCCCCCTCCCCTTCGAACTTCTCGGTCGCCCTGTATTCTTTGATAGCGAGTTTTTCCTCTTCCTTTTTTT